ATTTTAGATCAAAATACTTAAACTCTTAGCAAACATGACCTGACCTGCTAATAAAGCTCTGTTTGATCTTTGTGGAATGAGATACTTGATCATATGTGTGCATGTATGTCAAAATCATTTTGTCGTATCACTCTATTTCTGTCATCTTTTATCGGTGTTTTGTAGGTATGATATTTTCAGCCTTTTTTTAAATGCTTGTAGTTTTAAACATCGTCATCAGACAAATTGCGTTATTTATGTTTAAAAATCTACTGTATCGCATAAATAATTGAATAAATAGGAAAAAGTCAAATTATCATTCAGATTCCCAGTTAGTAGCTAAATCATTTCTTAATATATTATTTTCGGTTATTTTAATTTGAAATAGCGAAGAAGAAGAGCTTAATTTTTAACTTTTCCACACGTAAAACGAAAATTAATACATTATAAATAAATTTGTTAATTAATAACATACATATATTATGTAACAGAACACGAATCTGGTCCATACGAGCGCTGCGTCTGCGGCAGTAGCAGCCGCCACCGCTGGTATGGTGGTGTCGTGGTCGTGTGAACTCTGCGGACGTCTGTTCGCCACCAGAGATGAGTGGAGTGCCCACGCGAAGAGCCATCTACCGGACAACAAGCTTTTGCAAGATAAGATGCAACAGGCAACACAACATCAGGTACATGCTCAAATCACCGATAGACTGCCCGGTGTAAGACTGAATAGTTACACTGATCTGTTTAGACTGCCATCTTAAGTTTCTTCATTAGGAGATTTTCTCACCCTGGGGGAGACCCTGCCTCTTTTTAGCATTTCCAGTTGTGGCACAACTGACCGCACACCACACACCTCCACGTGTACACTTCCATCATAAAATCTTTTGAGACTGCCTCTCCTAAGGATTTTTTTAGCACAGATGCCGGTGATTCTTTAACTGCAATACGGAGGCAATCTCTGTGATACACTGCCTATAATCCTACATATATGTATATAATGTACCTTAACATTATTACAGCAGCAAGAGAAAGTGCATCTATCGAACCAGGAGAAACTCCAACTTCTTCACCATCACAACCAGAACCAGCAAATCCTGAATGGGCACGGGATCGCTACAGCATCTGTTTCGACCGCTACCGTTGTTAACGAGGGAGGGGGTGCAGGGGGAGGGACGTACTTCACACACGGACACACACACTACGCCCCGGAGAGACAACACACGCACGCACACCACCTGTGTCTAATGTGCCGGCAGGAGTTTGCGGGGAAAGCGGAATTCATGTTCCATGTCAGAGGTCATTTCGAAGGTAACCACTCATCATGGAAGGTATAAGAGAAACGAAACCGATACAAATTTGTTTCTCAGTTGTTTCTCTGCCCAACAATCTACAGCAGCTGATTGGCTCCTTAACTACTGAACCGATAGAACCGACAAATCTAGAGTCCTTAGAATACTCCGTGCTTCAGAAGGCACGTTAAGGCGTTACTCTCGCTGCATCTTTGGGCCCGCGTTTGGTTTAAGGCCCATTCTCCTTATTAGTTTTGATTCGATATCATCCAGAGAGAAGGCCTGAGCCCCAGCAATGGGGACATTAATGGGATGTCTCAGGGTGCCAGGGACCAAGTGGATATTTTAAGTATTTTTCATTAAAAATATTTTTCAGCATAGCAAAATGAATGCGCAATAAAACAAATATAATAATCATACGATGGGTTTGATTGTATAATGAAATCAAAGAATATCTTATGAGTATCCTTATTTATCATTAATTCGATTTGACTGATATCATATCAGAAATTTAATCTATGAAAATTCGTGTCAGGTAAAGTAAGCGACATAGCAGCAGCCGACGTTCTAGCGCGATCATTAGTGGACAACTCTGGACTGTGTACCTGAGCCACGCCCACGCCCATCAGCTACGACCCCTGCACCAAGGGCGTCTTCCAAGACGACACTATCATGCTGAAGTTTTGAGCACGGATGGGTACCAACTTAGAATAAGTAGCTTAACGCAAAGACTTAGTACCCCTAATCTGTAATTGTTTTTGTTCGTATAAAAAAGACGGTTTCAGTTAAAACTATGTTACACACATTTTTTTTATTTGTTCGTTAACAGTCTCGGATGCCTCAAAGCACAACAGGCGATTCAAGAATGTAAATTTTCACTAATTGATTATATATTTTAATGTTAACATATTAAAATTCTGAACATTTTATGGAAACCTGACTATATCATGCCAATTAAAAAATTACATTGACATGATAATTTTATTGAGAATAAAGAATATCCAAAAATAATTAATTGAAGAAAGTCTATAATACTTAAAAAGTTTTAAAACTTTTTTCTCTTGCTGAAATTTAAAAAAATGTGATACTTACAGACGAATATCTGGTTTCTCTAATGCAACTATTGCTTATTTATAAATAAAAGGGGTACAACTTTAGAAATAAAAACGAAAATTAGTTAAGTGAAATTTTAAAAACCAATCCATATTACTGACATATTATTCTGTTTGATAAGTACCTAGATGTTTGATGTAGTTTCGCAAAACGTGATTTTATTGTTTACCATAAATTTTACAAATAGTATTTTATATCCAATAACATACATTATTAATACCTACATATTATTGATATGGAGGCATATCAATAATTTATTATTGTGTTTCGTGCCGCCTAAAATTACTTTGATCTGAAACATTTGCCAGCCAATAAAATAGTTACAGAGCTTTTACATAGTGAAGGTAGATTAGTAAAGCTAGATATTTGTAAAAATGTATATATTATAAATATAAAGTAATATTTAATATACAAGGAAACGTTTGATAGAATCCTGTAACACCGCTTTATATAATATATATAAATCTAATTTTTAAGTTGTAAATATAATCTAGTCATTTCAATGAAGATGAGTGAATCTAGTCATTTTGTAGCGGACCTAGTCGGTCTATTGTAATCTAGTCTTCTAATATTAATAAAGGGATACGTATTTTCTTTTATGTACTACCTAACTGCTGATTTAGCTTGTAACTGCGTTGATTCAAAATGTATTATTAATATTTTGGAAAAAAAGCAGCATCTGTCCTTCCTCAGATCTTAAACTATCACAATGTGATATTACTTTGCGGTTTAGTCATAAAAGCGTAACAGCCCGACAGAGTTTAACATTTGTTATATTAGTAGGAAAGAGAATAATATTTGGCGTAAATATAAGAATATAATATAGCTTTCAAAGTTTGAAATTATGATTTTCTTAATTTTACATCTTAAATACACTCCTCATTTAACTATTTTACTAGGATTATAATTCGCCAGTATGGAAAACTAAATAATTAAATCGTTTGTAATTGAAGCATAAGTAAGAAAGTAATAGCTATTTTTTTCATACAAATTATTTACTACTCATTAAAATGATTATTTCTGTCTATGCTTCGTCGCTAAGTAATTCACAGAAATTAAACCTGCACCTTTTGAAGTGGGCTTTATATAATTTAACCTCTGATGCTGTCTTAGTGTTATAAAAACTAGACCTCCTTGGGCTTAAATTACTGTGACGTAATAATAATGCGACTTTAAAGACCAAAAGAAATTTTAAAATTAGAAAATATTATAATAAAATTGAACGATTTATTATTTTTAATTAACATTAGTAAGTAAAAATAAAAAAGATTTCATTACTAAATAAAATTACTCGAGTGCAGCTGGATTCTGGACCGATATTGTTGATTAATTTTAACTCTGATAGAAGATCGAATGACAATTCAGGAAGTAAAATCAGAAAAGATAAGGTCGGAAAAACTAAAAGTTATTTCCATTTTATTTTACAATTATTGATAATAAGATACATTTTCTATCCAGTTAGGTTAGATTAGGTTAGGTTGGCTCTCATTTTCATTGGTCGATATACCGTCCAAAAGTGTTCCTCTTATACAAAAAACGGTCGTATAGTATGCATTAGAAAGATTTCTTGCACAAGGCGAGTTTAACTGAGTTGTGAAAATGGCTATCGAAATTTGGGCGCTATGACATGCTTTACAGAAATGGCCCGCAGTTCGTATGCGTTTCGACCAATGAAAATGCGCTTTTAGGTTAACATTTCACTATATTATTAAATAGATAATTTAAAGTGAAATCGTTTCTGACTTGATACCTAATGGCTACAAACTAATATGTAAAGTGATATTATTATATGCCAGGACTTCGTGGAGCGAACGAGTTAAGTATACTGACCAACTTTTACTATGAGAGTAACACTGAATTCACGAAAAATAATCAGTTGTTTCATACAAAATTGTAATACCTACAATCGTTGATAGTATGAAACAGCTGATTATTTTTTCGTGAATTCAGTTTTGCTCCCATAGTAAAAGTTGGTCAGTATACTTAACTCATTCGCTCCACGAAGTCCTGGCACGTAATAATATTACACCTTACATAATGAATATAGATGATGTCTGGGTAAAAAAAAATATTATAAATCCGACAATCAGGTAATAAAAAAATATTATATACGTGTCTTTTTGTTTCCAGTTAACAACAAATTACTTAGAGAATAAGTTGTGAAAATCTTCATCGGTGTGACGTCACCTGATCGTCTCAATCTATCACCATAATTTATTGATTACTAAAAAAAAATACGCGTCTAATATTTTTCTATAATCTACCTGACGGAGAATAAAGTTTTAGTCGTCACTCTACTCCATATATTTCTTTGTTAAGAATATTATAATAACAGTTTTAGTTGGCTTGTAGTTTGGCTCTTTCAGACAGGAATTGGTTCGTATTACTGGTGCTACTGTTTTATTGTGTTGATAACATCTCAGTTTAGGAGAGTCACACTCACATCCAGTTGCGAGTATCAGTTTAAAATACAACACATAAAGTACAGTAGTGACGCATTTTCAGAATAGTATTCATGAACAATAGCGACATGAAACTAGAATACAAATGACAAACTAATAGTTGTAATTAATTTTTAACTATCGGATAGTTAAAAATTTTTGAAACGACATATATTTGCTATCTGGGTGTGATCAAAATCTCAAAGATAAAATTTAATTGAAATAGTAGCATCGTATTGTACTCAATAAAGTAGGAAATAGAATGTAGGTTATTGAATGGTCCTATGTTCTATCTACATTGGTTTGTAGTTTTTCATTACCTACGCCCCAAGTATAAATTGTGTCCTTTTCTCTCTTTTAGACACAATACAGGTAAGAGAAGGCAGAAAGAGTTATTTTCTTATGAAATAGAGATTTTCGTGTAGTTTCTAATTCGTATAATTCTCCTTTTTTGTATTTATGGGAAAGATGACCCGGTTTCGGACAATTTAAGATTATGAACTGGTTCTGTCCATTTCAAGAGTTATGCGGAAGTTAACTTTTGCCACAAAATGACATTTTAAAAACCGTTTACGACAAAGCACTACATTTGCCTATGCGTTAGTTTGAACGACTTAAATTGCCAAAGGCCATAATGTAGGCATTGGCCATAACTGAATCTTGTGTCCTGCATTCACTACAATTAATAAATGAAGACATTATAAATAACATTAAGCATGTTATATTTTTTAATGTTGATTTCACATTCATAGGTTTCAGTCATACCTAATGTGGATAGAACTAGGAATGATTTCGCTTGAAGCGAATCAGAGCACGATGGAAGTTACAAATTGCTTAGGAATAATGTATGAAAAATGTAGGTAAGGTATCGCCACGAAAGGTAAATAGGTGGGACATTTATGCAATAAATTTTTAGGTTATTTTGTAGTTTACGAATAAATTGTACAGTAACTAACAGATTTGTAATATAGTGAACTGTATATTAATAATACCAAAGGTATATGGTTGATGACACTATTATTTTTGATAATATTGTGATTCATACAGTTATATTGGCTTGAATTTAATTTTTCTTTTAATTAAAAAAATATATTCTTAACTTCTTTTATAACGCAAATAAGTCCGAACATATAAAATTCTTTATATACAACTTATAAACGCCATTGCAAGCAGAACCATCTGAATTCTAATGTCATCATATGGGAAAAGTAAAGAAAAGTCCGGTCGGATCGATCTGCTATCAAAAAAATAGCTTAAATATACGCTAGTTATAATCTTTGGTTGACTGTTCATGTTATTATTAAGTAAAATTCCAAACAAATTGAAACAAACATCGCTATAAAAAGATTAAGCATTTTGAAATCTTTATGATAGTTTCATATAAGTGCTACAAAAATAACAAAATCATATCTTATGTTCTTACGTTGTATTCTATTTTTGCAAGTCATCTATTACCGTTTATTAAGATCTTTATAATTTTTTCTTTCTCATTCCTCACGAGCGCATAAAACATATTAAAGAAAATGAATTGGCTTTCAATGTGATCTCATAAAATTAGCTGTAGGTATAATTGATACAAAAATCTGTTCATTATTAATAAAAAAAAAAACATGTAAATTGATTTAGAATATGTAATTAGCTAATGATTTGAATAAGGTCTTCAGAGCAAACATAATATTAAGTATTATGTTTTATCAATTTTGCATTCGCAATGCTATAGGTACTGATATCTTTAATGAAAAATGCTCAAAATTCCACCAGTCCCAGGTAAACCCAAAATGGGATTCGAGCCTACAACCTTTCGCAATCGAGGCGACTGCTCTAACTTGGTGGTGTTCTTAAGCATTTTTCAAGAAAGAGAATTTTAATTGCTTACAAACCTATTTCAACTTGAAAATTTTCGTACGAGAAGAAAAAATCTACAAACATAAATAACAAACAAAATTGACCGTGAACAAGAGAGAGTCAAAATAATTTATAATTAAAGTAACGTAACCTAAATGAAGTAATCGGGAGAAAAAGTAAAAATATGTACCTCGAAAAATGTGTGACCTG